CGAATGTATGCTAAGGTCCACTCACCATTTGGCATTCCTTAACCGTTACGGCGATTACAAGAGTCTGTTTTTGCATCCGAAGACTGTGCATGTTGAAAACAGGATGCTACATGGCCATGATCTATTGGATTAGCACTTCCTCGTGTATCTGGCGTAACTGGTGAGGAAGTCATCAGCGGTTCACTGACTCCATGGGGCCCGTTTCCAGGCTGAGTTTGATTGCGAAGTTCTGCTGTAAGACGTCGACGACGGCGGCGTTGCCTGATGTAGATAAAAAAGGAAAATGGGGGGATGAAGAAAACTTCGATATAAGAGAAACTACAGCTCCAGATAGAGTAGCTCTTGGTACTTTGTTCCAATCCGACAATCAAGACCCCACAGAAATATGAGACTATATATACACACACGGGAAAGCGAAGACTTCCGGGTCATTTGGATTAAATAAATACGAGTCCACAGCCGAGGTAGGATGCTTGAGTTTCACCATGTCTGTTCGTAAACTATGAGCTACTCGTGAGTAGTGTAAAATTACTGGACAAAAGTGCGGAAGCACACTGGTTTAGGGTTTATCTACCAGGTTCGCGGAAAGTCAATGCGGTTTCCTCGTTTTCCGGTCTTTTTACATCTGACTCGAATGAGTTTTCTACTACTGGCAATGTCTGTGTGCGACAAGCCACTTTGACACACATCACTGAGTGATCGGAATTGCACGCAACTCTGCGCATCCCCTTCGTGGTCATTACGTCCCAGAGACCGCTTTATCTCACACAGCCTTAGGTGTTCTAGCCTATTTCTCACGTGGGACCACGTGACAAGGGCTGTCTATTCCATGTTGGACCACGGGTCTGTTAGTGGGAATTTCAGTGCTGCACATCATTAAGTCGGTTCTAAGTGAACTCATTATCTTTTTCCTGGTTTCGGAGTCCCTACAAATTCGTCCACTGACGTCGCCCCACAAGAAAAGTGAACTGTTCACAAGTGCAGTCCTGACCAGGTATTGTAATACTATGTGTAATACTCTTTCATCCTAATGAAAAGTACACTCAGAGCTTTCCCTAATCAGCCAACCGGATTTCACTGAGCGCAAGAAGGTCAATAGTGTGACATTTGAACCATTTTGCGACAAGACCATTTGGCGTTTGGGGTCCATCTTCTTCATTCTCGAAATCCCCAAGTCCCATGTCACAGAATACGTGCGTTTCTTGTCTTTGCATTTTGCTGCGTGCGGAGATGGAGCATTGTGGCTGCCGAGCCTGTAGAAAGAGGCATATTTCGGGAGAAGTAAGCATCGCCGCTTTCATAAGTATGGAGGTGTTGGTCACCTGGGGGAAACACCGTGCTGTTCGCAACGCAATACAATCTCGAGCAACACTGACTGAATGTGATGGAAAATAGTACCCACTTTCGGGCGCTTGACGTATCATATGACATGGCCGTGGCTGGATCGGGAAAGTCCGCTTCCTGAGAGGGGGCGTGGCCTCGTACAGATGACACATGCGTGGTGGCACCTCGCAGCGACTCGCTCGGGTTGGCCTCCTGTGACGTTGTATGTGTGCCAGGATGCTGTTGATGATAGTGCAACTGTGCTGTCATCGAGGTGGAACGCTGAAGAAAACGACCTTCCGGTAAAGGGGGCTGGAACGCATTTGGGTTAGGAAGTTGACGACCAAGATGGTGATATCTGGAATAAAAAGTAGATTTGTGTAAAAGCGTCACAGTGCATTTTAGCCGATAGAGAGTGAATATTACAGAGCAACAAAATCAAGAGGAACACGTGGTACAACGAATCCAGTGGCCTTCGAAACCATCGAAGTTCTGCCCACGGGATTAACGGGAGGTTCAGTGACAGAAATCCCCTGGGGACTGGAATTTCTGAACATCCATAGATAAGACATGAGAATGGAGGAAGGACCTTTATTGGTCTGTAGTAACAAAACGAATTGAAGTATACCTTGGGATTATGTATCGCCTATGCATCACTTCGATAGGGATTTGGGGTATTCTTTGTAAGAAGCTACAGGCTCGTACACGAACGAAACAAGGATCTAACAGGATCCTACAGTTACAAAATTCACGAACAAGCCTGATCAGTCAACCAAAGACACTGTCAATGTGTAAGGTTGTGTACGTGCTTCTCCAAGTTGATGAGAAATGGCCACTTCGCCAATGAGCTGTCTTGCTCCAGGGACATAAGCCTGTACTTGATGTTGTGAACTGTACAAAATTATTGACAAGCTATCAACGAAGGCATACAGAACCTCTCAAATGGTCTGTCACATTTTGCTACGACGCACAGACGTCAAAATTTGGGTGGATGATAGGAGCTGCAGTCAGTTTGTTTCCCATCGACGGAATTCGATTTATTTGCTTTAATTCAGGTAAGAAAAGGGGGCAAAGTTACATTCACCCCCCACCAACGTGAGGGGTCTTGTTTATAATTGTTGATGGTTGCGGAATGGGTAGAAACGTCACTTACATGACTCTTGTTTGAACCGCCGTCCAAACCAAAGGGGGGGGGGAAGCACTGGACTCGAGTTTCGTTCTTACTAGAGCTCATCAGCAGTATATATGCTAGGCCTTGTTGGGGTTTGAACTCCGCACATCTGACATGCGACACCAGTGTTACCACTACTCCACCAGCGCAAGTTGGACGCATCTGAATTTTCAACTGAATAGGTGACTGATGTGAGTGGAAAGCCCGACACGTTGAAAGAAGACCCAGTAACATAGCTTAGTTGTGTCGATCACCTGTCAGAACAAGCTTTGCTTCCGCTGTTGGTGGTTACAGGATTTGTAAAATCCAGATTTAGATTACTCTTGCTAATGTTCGAGTGCTGTACTCTAAAGAATTCGCTGTTCCATTACAAAAGGACGTTCCTAACACACGGAATTCTCATTGAGAAGCGGAACAGAAAATAACATTCCTTTCAGAAGGGTTGCTGCAAAGATAAATTGTTGAACTGACGACTTTCCCATTCTGGGGCAGGATCTGTCGTTCTTCTGTAACACCCTTTTAGTGCCACGCTTCCATACCACCCGAATGATGCACGAGGGCTGGGGTACTGTCAGGTTGCCCAAGCCTAGAAAGAAATCGAGATGCAGAGGCCGGACCACGGACCTTCCGGTCAGTAAATTCCCGCTCTAATCACTTGAGCAATTTCTCCCCCATACAGGAACAGTCGAGACGCTTGGAGCCAAAGGGATGAAGCTTGCTTGTTAAAATCCGATTTGTTCTGAGCTTTTATTGGAATTCATGAATTCTGGCCCATCAAATATTTATATGCCTGATGAGTTAAGTGAATTGTGATTTGTCAGCAATTGAGACACCCAGAGGCGCACTAGTGATGAGCCCAGTGAAGAACCAGTTCACAAGCATTCCTCAAGAAACAGACAACAGTATCGAAATACACAGAATGGGAAAGAAGCACGAATGAAGTATAAAGATACATGCATACGTAGTCTACCTTTCGGTGTACGGCTGGAAGGAAGGCAAGAGAAACTGCTGTTCACTACTTAGCAAGTGAGCAGGAGGATAGCCCGGTGAAGCAGTGTCCGTGCCGTAACCAGGGTAAGCATTCGGATCCTCGTTGAAGGGAGGCGGCGTCATCAAGCCCGGATTGTAGCCAGACCATTGATTGTGGGGCTGTTGTGCGTAAGATAGATGCTGTAACGTGTGATGATATTGCCGCGTACGGGGGTCAAAAATGAGCTGGGCGGTGTTTGCAGGTTGGCGCATTGCAGGCATAGAGAGAACAGAAGGTGGCTGATATTTGGACGCGCTATTACCATTCATGGGAAACGGACTGTGTGCCATACTGGTGACTTGATAGCCAAGCTGCTGATGCAATCCTTGGTCCGGCAAATCGCACTCGGCTGTATAATGGAAACAATAATTATTGGCCTCAAAACCAAACCCCCTACTAGTCAAGCCTATTCAAAAGTAGGCAGAAACGCAGGTAAACAAATTATAGATGCGAGCGGGCGACCCTATTGGCGACCATCAATGGAAGCGCATAAAATTAAGCATGACCTCCAATGTACCGAAAGACGAATCCAGATGAACATATGACGACTAACACAGAATTTCGGCGAACAGAAACAGTTTTTGACATGCCATACACCGGACTGTTAGAGGAGAACCGATAGAGTAAAGCCCCTCGATAAGCGGCAATCACGAGTAGAACCAAGAGATCTCTGAGGACACAGTGGCTCGCATTTAGAGGCCTTCTGAAACTATTACCGATTTAGTTAACAAGATCAAACAAAACAGTCGATTTCTTATAGTAATCAAGCCCAAATTTGTTTTTTTTTATACACCTTTTGAAGGTTATATATGCGTCGTATTTAGTAAATGTAAATGAGATGCTACATCAGTTTCATCACCTAGTTTAACTAACCCTATCAATATCGTCGTATACCACAACACAAGACTCATTGCATGAGATAGTTGACGGAAACCTGGAGATTGTGTCTACCCGATGTAGGAGGGCGAAACTGGTCATGGTCTATTCAGGAGCGGTTTTATTGACGAAAATATACTGCGACATCTCGAATACCGTACCAACTGAAACATGAGGCGGACTTGTGCAGCACGTTTAGTTGAAGAATACCAGCTGCGATTCAGTCGAGTATCCCGTAAAAACTGAGTAAAAGTGCAAATAAGGGCATTCGGTTGAATTTCGTCTAATTTGGATTCAAGTAGGATATTGATGGAAACTCAGGGACGGCGCCTCCCTGATGAGCTCCAAGAAAAACGAAACCGGTCGTTGGGTGCCGGAGCTTTAAGCAACCTTATGAGTAGTAAGTATATAACTTTGAGATTGTGACTGACTGAAACAGTTTGCCACAATATGTGAAACGAAAATTCCAGATCACTAGGACGCTAGACACTGAAAATACTAACAAAGAAAGCTGTTATATACATATATACAGGATTATTCGCTCGCTACTATGAATAGCATTCTGAGGCAAACGCGTCAAAATAATGTTATGACAGAAGGAAAGTGGGTATGCATATTAATGGCGCCTACTTTCGGCGCACTTTTGTCCGGTCAGCTGTCTCTAGGGAATTCCTCCCTGTAACAAATACTCATTTGCATTTTCACGAAAAATCTTTATAGATAGCGACAAACGTATCGGCCCACCCAGGCTGTCCACCACGTAATGGATGAGACGACTTTTGACAAGCACCGGATGGGAGAGAATTCCTCCGACGACCTTACATAGTACGGGCGATCCCACCATCGACTGTCATATTGAAAACGTCATCATTAGTGTATTCTGGCCGATGCACTTCAAAAATGCGAAACATCACGTGACTATACGATGAAGGAAAGGAAACCGACCTATGATGAGGTATGAACCACTAAGTTCTCTCTATGAAATACATATTCGTGGAACGCTTAGCTGCTTAATCCGCCAGCTAAAGAATTTTCAAATGCAAATGAGGGCATAGTATTTAGTGGCATTTGAAGTATCCAATCAGTTCGTCATAGGAAGGCAAAGATCCGTATCAATTAGGGAAAATGAGGGTAGCTCAGGTAACGTAGACGGTCACTGGTTTGTTCACTGAGCCGGGTGCAATCAAATTGCCCGACTCAGCGAACAAACCAACCACCATCCATAACAATCCTTGAAAAAGGCGGAAATAAAGAGGTGAAGAAAGAAAAGAAATGATCTGCATCTCTCTATCTCTGTGTGTCAACAGCTAGCTTTTGTTTTGTTGCATGAAGTTGTCTGGCTACTCAACGTGTGGTACCAATATCCGACCAAGCACATGGTATGCATACCGGTGAACAAAGATACACAAAAGCCCACGATTCATAAAATGAATCGGATTCTACAACCACACAACAACGGAGAACTGTCGGGCGAAACGTCGTCTAGAGACTCATCTAATGTTGAGCGGCACTTCCGGGCATAGTTTCCACTTTTAAACGTTTTGTACAGAAACCTCCCTACGAATGCTGCGTTTATTTGGAAATGCAGCACGGCTATGGTGGCAGATTTGTCAACTTTCATTCTGCTGATCGCCGGATATTTAGAGATTACGGAGTACACCAAATTTAGAATGTCAGTCGTCGTGCTCGTCTACCTTTTCAGGAAATCTATTGAAATCAATAACTGTAAGGCCACCAAACTCGCAAAATTTATTTGTGGCATCTCATCACGATAGGATACTGCGGAGCGACAAACTGCATCTTCGCGACGTATTATGACCATGGTATCGTCTTCCTGGAGCGTCGTCTATGAATATCAGTTTGTTAGAAGAAAGTGTCATACTGAAAAAGTACACAAGGAAGAAAACAGCCAAGCTCTCGATAGCAATTACCGCTCATATCTCAAACCGGTGTGAAAAGGGTCACGAACCGTGCATCTTAAAAGACGGATCGCAACTACTTTTGAGAAGCGAGTTTTTGGTTGTGCAACAGGAACTTCCGTTGGTGTGTGTCCAGCATCAGAAGCCATGTGTTGTGCATGCCAAATCATCGTTTTCCGAAGGAAGTGCTGTTTTCCAATTTAAGGAGCTGAAACAGTGGTCAAACCTTGACCTGGCAGAGAGGTACGAAAGAGGTTACGAAACGCTTGTGTGCTGTCGGTGCTACCAGAATAGGGACTACGTAATCTCCGTTGTGCCTGGTTGGAGACGCTGCAAGATATGGCTGCTAATCTATGTCAATGGCATTCAAGTTGTCAGTTTCTATCCAGATTGTCTGAATGAGTGTTTGGAGGTCTAGGCACCTCGGTAGCACCAAGCACATTCCCCGACCATCTTGATTATTTTCTTTACAATAAGGCTTTCTGCTAATCTAATGGCATTCAAGTTGTCAGTTTCTATCCAGATTGTCTGAATGAGTGTTTGGAGGTCTAGGCACCTCGGTAGCACCAAGCAAAGCACCCGACCATCTTGATTATTTTCTTTACAATAAGGCTTTCAAATAAATCATGGTAGCGAAACATCATTGTTGAATACCGACATCATGCTGTCCATGATGATGATGGTGACTATTGAGAAGCCAACAAATTGATTGACAAACATTCCGATATCGATATACGACAGAGTCACTATAACGGATGTTTCTTAAGGAGGATCGGACTGAAAAACACGATGCCATCAGCAAAGTATATTATCATATACACGTAAAGTAAACTGGTGACTTACTGTCTGTTCCATCATGAACGGATCCACCACTCGGAGGTTCTCGCTTCAGACCGAATGGAGGATTTAGAGGTTGGTTGTTGACCGAGTTCATGCCGTTTGGATAATTCCCGGGAACCATAAACTGTCCGGAATAATTGGACCCAGTCATCGGTAGGGTGGTTCCACCGGCTCCTACGTGTTGATTGATCCAGTAAGCATATTCGGGGTTGGTGTTATTAAAGGGCGCATGGAGATTAGCAGACGATGGGACTAACTGGCCCGGATATGGGTACATTCCTGGAGGAGCAGACAGAAGGCTAGACAGTTCCACATCGCGCTGGTTGGCATGTTTCGGTGGGGGAGGTGGTGGGCTCATTGGTGGAGGTTGTGGATGAAACGCGCTCGAGTGTTCAGATGCGTGACGACGTCTGTGGGTGTCCAACGTATTAAGATGTTCCAACATGAAGTTCTGCGGGGCAGTATGGTGCCCAGCTTGACCAGGTGGAGCTGTTTTTGAAAAAAAGTAAGAAGGGGTACGAAGTTATCTCGAGAAGCCTCACGTAGACTATAGTAGAACCCTCGATTAGAGCATAGCTTGGGAGGTATGACATTAGTCAGCCTTATTAGCACAGCCTCGTTTGTGCAACAACACTCACACGGTACTTTGAAACAGACGGTACCTTGTTTAACCAGCTAAGGCCGTTTCCAGTGCGCGGGTTTAAAACCGTTGGGTCATGGAACCATACAATAAACTAATCAGAAACATACTGAAAAAGTACACAAGGAAGAAAACAGCCAAGCTCTCGATAGCAATTACCGCTCATATCTCAAACCGGTGTGAAAAGGGTCACGAACCGTGCATCTTAAAAGACGGATCGCAACTACTTTTGAGAAGCGAGTTTTTGGTTGTGCAACAGGAACTTCCGTTGGTGTGTGTCCAGCATCAGAAGCCATGTGTTGTGCATGCCAAATCATCGTTTTCCGAAGGAAGTGCTGTTTTCCAATTTAAGGAGCTGAAACAGTGGTCAAACCTTGACCTGGCAGAGAGGTACGAAAGAGGTTACGAAACGCTTGTGTGCTGTCGGTGCTACCAGAATAGGGACTACGTAATCTCCGTTGTGCCTGGTTGGAGACGCTGCAAGATATGGCTGCTAATCTATGTCAATGGCATTCAAGTTGTCAGTTTCTATCCAGATTGTCTGAATGAGTGTTTGGAGGTCTAGGCACCTCGGTAGCACCAAGCACATTCCCCGACCATCTTGATTATTTTCTTTACAATAAGGCTTTCAAATAAATCATGGTAGCGAAACATCATTGTTGAATACCGACATCATGCTGTCCATGATGATGATGGTGACTATTGAGAAGCCAACAAATTGATTGACAAACATTCCGATATCGATATACGACAGAGTCACTATAACGGATGTTTCTTAAGGAGGATCGGACTGAAAAACACGATGCCATCAGCAAAGTATATTATCATATACACGTAAAGTAAACTGGTGACTTACTGTCTGTTCCATCATGAACAGATCCACCACTCGGAGGTTCTCGCTTCAGACCAAATGGAGGATTTAGAGGTTGGTTGTTGACCGAGTTCATGCCGTTTGGATAATTCCCGGGAACCATAAACTGTCCGGAATAATTGGACCCAGTCATCGGTAGGGTGGTTCCACCGGCTCCTACGTGTTGATTGATCCAGTAAGCATATTCGGGGTTGGTGTTATTAAAGGGCGCATGGAGATTAGCAGACGATGGGACTAACTGGCCCGGATATGGGTACATTCCTGGAGGAGCAGACAGAAGGCTAGACAGTTCCACATCGCGCTGGTTGGCATGTTTCGGTGGGGGAGGTGGTGGGCTCATTGGTGGAGGTTGTGGATGAAACGCGCTCGAGTGTTCAGATGCGTGACGACGTCTGTGGGTGTCCAACGTATTAAGATGTTCCAACATGAAGTTCTGCGGGGCAGTATGGTGCCCAGCTTGACCAGGTGGAGCTGTTTTTGAAAAAAAGTAAGAAGGGGTACGAAGTTATCTCGAGAAGCCTCACGTAGACTATAGTAGAACCCTCGATTAGAGCATAGCTTGGGAGGTATGACATTAGTCAGCCTTATTAGCACAGCCTCGTTTGTGCAACAACACTCACACGGTACTTTGAAACAGACGGTACCTTGTTTAACCAGCTAAGGCCGTTTCCAGTGCGCGGGTTTAAAACCGTTGGGTCATGGAACCATACAATAAACTAATCAGAAAAAAAACAAAATACCGAGATAGGACACAAGGCCAGGTGAGCCTCTCCATCGACTTGAGATATGTTGACTATGACGTCTGGGATTAGGCAAGCTCGGTCAAGAACAGTCAGCTTAGAGACCACCTGCACTGTCACATAAACACACCTCATCGCATTAATCATCATTCCAAAGGTAGCAAAACAGAGGACAAAGGAACCACCGGGCGAGCTACCGTGGGGAATGACGGGCGCCCATCCCATTGTTTGTCTGTCCAACTTGCAGACATATAATGGGTCTATAAACAATGGGCACGTCAGCTCGCAAACATTCACTCACACACCCAGTTGAGTGACTCACGCGATTTGGTTGCCGATGCTTGCTTAGCAGCCGCGCTTGTGTACACCAATAAACGACGTTTGTCTCGTTGCTGACGCCAGACACAAAGTATTACCAGGCAAATCATAATGATCAACATCATTCCAGCCAAAGCTCCGAGGATGAGGAACATTAGGCGATTCGATTCGGTCGAGTTGAAAATCAGCTGATTCTCTGTCCTCGCTTGACCTGTTCCCGAGTTCACATGGTGCGTTTCGGGAACACTAATCTCACCAGGAGTGACCTGAAAAAGACGAATAGGACAAGTAGAAATCACAGGAAGCACGGTCGGTGGGTAAACCTCGTTCAACTGGTTGAACACGACCTACCTGTGGTTTGACGAATATCTCGTGGCTGAATTGCGTGATCCGTCGACCACCTATACCACCTTTGAACACGACAGCCTGTGGATCCATTCCAGGTGGGGTGTGAACACCGTAAACTACCAACTGGTAGCCTTTACCCGGTTCCAAATTGTGCAGCTTACACTCCTAGGTGAGAATATGAAAGTAAAAGTCGGTAATACATCGGCAGGAAAAACTCGGGAGATGGGTTTGGAGATAGAGTAACAAGGAGCACTTTAAGTCACTTTAAGCTCCGAGGGGTATGACACGGGTTTTTAGAGTGGGGAATTTAATTAAGATATGCTGAAGTTGGAAATGTCGACTACTCAAACACACTTTCAAAGAACTCTAGATGAAACGGACAGCAAAGGTTCGTGTGGAACTCAACAGATGGAGGCCAGGTGCACCTTACATCCGTCGGTTTCGAAGGGTGTCTCCATGTATGGGTTTCTGTATACACCGCAGAAAAATCCGCCCTATTCCCATAAAATTATATGACAACCTGGGTTTACAATCACGACACCCACCAATTTAACCTTGAAAAGTGAAAGTTTGCACACATCGTCGTAAGCGGTGTACAGTCGCAAGGGGATGTGTATCGGGAGCAAAATCGGGAAATGGAAAATGATGCAGCTGACTGACCTTAGAAGAAAGCGAAAATCGAATGAGAATACAGAAGAATTCACAAGATCTGTCGACCATATTAAGTTGGAAATCTCGACTACTCAAACACACTTTCAACGAACTCTAGATGAAACGGACAGAAAAGGTTCGTGTGGAACTCAACAGATGGAGGCCAGGTGCACCTTACATCCGTCGGTTTCGAAGGGTGTGTCCATGTATGGGTTTCTGTATACACCGCAGAAAAATCCGCCCTATTCCCATAAAATTATATGACAACCTGGGTTTACAATCACGACACCCACCAATTTAACCTTGAAAAGTGAAAGTTTGCACACATCGTCGTAAGCGGTGTACAGTCGCAAGGGGATGTGTATCGGGAGCAAAATCGGGAAATGGAAAATGATGCAGCTGACTGACCTTAGAAGAAAGCGAAAATCGAATGAGAATACAGAAGAATTCACAAGATCTGTCGACCATATTTATATATATATATATATGTATATATATATATATATATATAATCAGAACCTGACTTCTGAACCCCGACAATCGCTCAGCGTTCACGTGACAGCACGCGACCACGGAATCCGAAATAACCACACTCATAGTAATCAACCGCATCAGGTTCCAAGCTCATACGCTGCGACTCAGAGTCCCTTCCAAATAATCAGGATCGGAGAACTCTGCCACAAATTAGCAACTTAGTACTATGTGGTGAAATTTGCTGCTGAACGGTGAATCATTCACGAGGAGGCTAAGTTTCTCTCACTGTTTCTGCCAATGGATGTGTTTGCGCCAAACATGCTTGTCATCAACTGGACCGGAAAACGGAATGAAGGAAAGCGTATCCCTAGCGAAATACACTTATTTGCATACCTATTTGGTTTTGAGCAAAGACTCACCTGTTTTTAACACCATAAACGAAAGATTCAGCGGGTTCCATGTAGTCTACCCTCAAAACCAAATTCGTATGTAAGTGAGTGTATTTCGCTAATCTCACGAAATTTGGGTTTAAGTAGAACTCGAAGACTGAGCCTACCTGATGAGCCTCAAGAAAGGTGAAAAAGATCATGGGCTGTCGAAGAGTTTTCAGCAACCTTATGAGTACAGCACTGCGTCAAGAATGTACTACTGCTTGGCTTGGTATTCGGCCAGCTAGGTACATGAAGCTGAAGATGAGTGCGGAGACAGTAGGAAACTCGAGGTATACCGTTAGAAAAATGATTGGTAATCAGCGTGCTAATGTACACTAGACTTCCAGTCCATGGCAGTTAGGATTTCCGCTGCCGAGCCCATCAAATCGGATACCAATCTAGGAGAGCAGCACGTAAAGATATCATAGAACATGTGCATCCACACAGTTCGAGATAGATCACATCATAGTACACCCTTTCAGCACCTTCATTTACAGGCATGATACACTACCTATAAGGTTGCTGAAAATTCTTCGACAGCTCACGGCAAGTTTCGCCCTTCCACTTCGGGCCCACCAATTAGGCACAGTCCCCAAGTTTCCGCCAACTTTATGTTCTACTTGAACCCAAATTGTACGAAATCAGCGAAAGGCACTCACTTGCATACAAATTTGACTTCCCTAGAGACTCACCTGGAACTCAGCTGAATCTCTCGCTTATGCTGTCTCTAAGCATACACCAAATGTTTGCAAATGTGTATTTCACGTTCATCTAGGATATTTCACTTCACAACGCCACTGGTGGAGCGTATGTCAATGTTCAATTGTACCCTGATACAGGAAGCCGATTCGCAACTAGGTACAAAGAAATTGCGAGTTTGGTTGAATACGTCACCGCTTGCACAAAAGTCATTTCATTCCATTCGATAGGGGTAGAGCTACGAGTTACACATTTTTGTTGTGGGCTGCATATCGTCATCTGTCATTCTGTTAGTTTAACGAGAGTCTGGTGCAAACATATTCCGCCAGAAGAATATCGTGCTGAAAGTACGAGCCTTGAAACACACAACGATTCGTCCGTCCTAAGCTTCAATTCATCTTCCCTGCATTGCTGAGCATTAGAAACATAATGAGTGATGGATGAACAGTGAAATGAGTTGAGCCCGCCACAACTCCCCAACTCAGTTTGGTTAAGAGAGCTTGACAACCCTGCGCATATATACATAATCTCGAAGGTGTCCTTTCCAGGGACTTGTGCTTTTCGTGGAAAGTGCGCAATCATCGAATAAACGTGCATGACAGATATGAACTGATTTTTTCAGTACTCATAGGATCGTTCCGGTAGCAGAACGGAAGAATGATGAAGAAAGATGTCACGCTCTCTATTGCCGCCGGTTGCAGTTTGATTTGTACTGCATCTGGCTGGAATCTGGCGGCGATATGATCTTAAACAGTAAAATGACAAACCATCGATTGAAGCCTGCGGTTAAAAGTACAGGTCACCTGACATGGGGGACTCAGTGAAATCAACGCACAAACAAAACAATCAGATGTGTTAGAATTTAATGGTAACTAATTGTGAAGCTGCCACGCCTAATCTACCAAGCCACCGAACGAAAGTACGAGGGCAGAGATACTGCAAAGTTGCCCACGCTGATACAGGGACAGACGAGATGTCGAGGTTGGGTTCGAACCACAGGACCTCCATATTAGTAATTTCGCGCCTTAAGCACTGAGCTATCTGGAATGAATGGAGATGTGCAATTTACCACATTAATAGTGTTTGACGAATAGCGCAAATGTGTGGTTGATTGGTGGTCGTCCGGGGAGGTAACTTGCAGCGTTGGCAGAGATGACAAAGCGATAAGTATGGCTTAAATGTGAAGTAAAGAGTGAACACTTAGGCGATTTGAAGTGCTACCAATAGCATGAATGGTAAGAATCCAGGTGTCCGCTTCAAGGCATGAACTCTTGCAGGACAAATGTGTGTGCTGCATGAATTAGG